GGCGATGTTGAAAGTTGAGAATGCACTACCCTGCAATTTTGAGGCGAGATCAGACAACCGGTTCAAATACATTTAAAGTAAGCAATGCTCGGATCAAGTATAGAACATCTAGAAACTTTCAGTTAACAAGTGTAATCCCTGGTACAATAAGATTTTTGCCGCCTAGCCTGACAAGAAAAAGGTATATAATATGGGTTTCGCACAACGGTATATTTTATTTTCAATTCTCAAATGCATAAAAACTCAAGGATGTATATTCCGCTTACGCTGAAACAATTAACAAATTACGGTTTCGACAGAACAGGTGAGCTCAAAACCTTTATTCCGAATTGTTGGCAGTTCCATAAATTTCACAAATAATCTCGTTTGAGCGTTGTTTTCTCAAGGAAACATTTCGCTCAATGAATGGGAGGACGCAAGCTAAGCTCGACCGGTTTACCGCTCGACCATTATGCTAATTGTGCTTTAAAGCAGCCTTTTAAAAAGATTTCAGAGTTTAAAAGTATCACTTGTCACAGAAACTTAGGTTATAGAAGTAAAACAATTACATACCTTTAATGAATTGATTTGGCAAGAAAGTATCGAAAGTAAACAGTCTCGAACCGTCAGAATCAGCCATCACTTCTCTGACAAACGGCCGGCATTGTCCGCATCTCATGGCAAGTCTGCTGAAGTAAATCTTCCATTTGCATCCTTGGGGTTTTTCTACCACAAAATGTTTCATATCCTTCCGACAAAGGTTAGAAATGAGCAAAGGGAACAGCACTTTATATGAGTCAAAATTATCCAAGCGGCCATCAAAGTCATTCCCTGGCGCGAAACACACGTGATTCCAACTAAATTTGACCGGCGGCAAAATATTATTATGGTCTTTTTGGCCGTGCAATGCTCGAAGTTCAAAAAAATCTCGTCTTAACCATATTTAGTGAGCTAACCTGGTCTCGTCCATTGTTAATTTATATATCAAAGTCACGAAATGTCTAACCTAGTTTCACGCAGGTTTCACTCATTGTTAACATATTATTTCCGTACCTAAGTCAACAGCGTTAGATGATTGACTTACGTCATCGCTAAAAAAAGCCAATTGCCATGCATACCTCGCTCAAGTTTCCACTCCCAAATATAAAGCTTCTTTCTTTTCAGTCTTGTTTTTGGCGTGGGACGTGGTCTGCATCCCAGAAATATAAAGCAAAGACCTGCCTGTTTGAAATAGTTATTATACCTATGTAAATGACCCTTTTTTACCAATGTCACGCAACATCAACAATTGTTCGTATTGTTTTTCTTTTTTAAACATAGAAAAGAAAAATCATCCCTGTACGCCGTAGTTATTTAGTAATCTATGAAGTTTCATAAGAATCCGTTGCAAACTCGTAAAAGTATGGGACCCCAGACTTACAACGAAATGTATACCAAGCGGCAAGCGTTGTCTCCCTGTCACACATCATTTAAAAATTGGCAAGTAAGCAGGAGTCCCGCATTTTTATGGGTTTGAAACAGATTCTAATGAAACTTCACATATTTACTAAATTCGGCATGATAAATAGAGCGGTATGGTTTATTTTCTTGTTCGAATGAAAAAAAAAAATAAAATAAAANTTTTATTCTGTCCAAGATTGTAGTTTCACGCAGGTTTCACTCATTGTTAACGTATTATTTCCGTACCAAAGGTCAACAGCATTAGATGATTGACTTACGTCATCGCTTAAAAAAAGCCAACTGCCATGCATGCCTCGCTCAAGTTTCCACTCCCAAATATAAAGCTTCTTTCTTTTCAGTCTTATTTTCGGCGTGGGACGTGGTCTGCATCCCGCTTTTATCAGACTCTATGTGGCAGCCTTGTTACATGTTGATACGAAATTTAGCCGTTCTTAAAATGATAACAGAAATATAAAGCAAAGACCTGCCTGTTTGAAATAGATATTATACCTATGTAAATTACCCTTTTTACCAATGTCACCCAATATCAACAATTGTTCGTATTGTTTTTCTTTTTTAAATATAGAAAAGAAAAATCATCTCTGTATGCCGTATTTAGTAATCTATGAAGTTTCATAAGAATCCGTTGCAAACTCGTAAAAGTATGGGACCCCCAGACTTAGAACGAAATGTATACCAAGCGGCAAGCGTTGTCTCCCTGTCACACATCATGTAAAAATTGGCAAGTAAGCAGGAGTCCGCATTTTTATGGGTTTGAAACGGATTACAATGAAACTTCACATATTCACTAAATTCGGCATGGTATGATAAATAGAGCGGAGTGGTTTATTTTCTTGTTAGAATGAAAAAAAATAAAATAAATAAAATGAATAAAATAAAATAAACAGGAAAGCCGGACATCGATGCAAAACCCCATTGTTCTGCATGGTTCAAT